GGAGCCGGGGCCCGCGCGCTCCGCGGAGCGCGCGGGCCCCGGCTCCCCGGCCCCACAGACCCAGCCGCCAGCTGCGGGTCCGCGGGGTCCCCGCGGCCGCCTCCCCGCCTGCGTCCTCATCGGGCTGCCCTGCGGCGCCGGGCCGGCCCCACCGGCCGCCGCTGACCGGCCTTGGCCCCCTGGAGAAGGCCTCTGCCCTGGCACCTGGGAGGACCTCCCCCAGGGTTGGCCCGCCAGCTGGACCTGGCCTGAGAGTGATCCAGGAAGGGACTGAAAGTTCAGACGGAGGGTGGGCATGGGGGGTCGTCTCCCAGGAAGCCTTAGAGAAAGCCTACCTGTAACCTGTGAGGGGGACTCTTGGTGGCACATGGGGCTGACACCCAGCCGGGTAGCAGAGGCACTGGGCTGGCAAGGACCTTTCAGAGCTGAGCTCCAGCCACCTGCAAGGGTGCCCTCCCTCACACGCATCCCAGCAAGGAAACCCTGCTCTAAGGAGCCCCCGTGGGTCTGGAGCTGCCGCCGTTCCTTGGGATCCAAGGGATTAATGTGGGCACGTGCAGAAATGAGCAAGGCCGCCTAGCCTTCACATGACTTAAATAATTTCAGTTTTAGCAGCTTCTCACCCTATCACTTCCTCCTTTCCAGCCACCTATGGGTGAGGGACTGGAAGCAGGAAAGCACCACTGTGCCCTTAAAGTTTTGTCCCTCCCAGAAACTGGGGGGTTGTGGGGGGCAGGTGCTATGGTGGGTGGACTTGTCCCTTCAGGTCTTCAGACATGGCCGTCCACTTCTTACTGTCCCCACAGCGATTCTTGCAGACTCTTTTATCCTGAGGATCCTATTAAGATTGTCCGGGGCCAAGGACAGTACTTGTACGATGAACAGGGTGCAGAATACCTGGATTGTGTCAACAATGTGGCTCATGGTTAGTATCCTACCTCAGGCTGGCAGGGCAGGGGGGCAGGCTGAGGCTGTGAACCTGGTCCCAGGGTGATCCTGAGATTGCAGAGAGGTGCGGAGAACTTGGGTTGAGCTGAGCAGAGGAGCCCAGTCTTTCTGGTGTGCCTCATGGAGAGGCTTCAAGCAGTAGCTGTGCTAAATCAGGCAGCACAGCAGTCGGAAGTCCAGTTCCACTTGGGACTGATGGCAAGCTCAGAGAACAGCAGTCAGCCTGACCATGACCAGCAACACAGCAGGCCTCTGGCCAAGTATTGGGAATCATGGCAGGGCTTCAGCCCCAGGGACCTTCTCAGGTGCTAGGCAAGGAAACTGAAGTAGGAATTTAGTTATCCAGGTGGGGCCACCAGAGCTGATGGGATGAAAAGGAGTCTGTGACCCAAAAAGCAAACTAGAGGTTAATGAAATAGAGAGTAAAAACAAGGGCTCTAGTCCCAAACCGCTTGGGTTCATCATATCCCTGCCCTCCACTTACATTATGATCTTGGGCAAGTTGTTTAATTCTCTGTGCCTCAGTTTGCTCATCTGCAAAATAGACACGACAATACTAGGGACTCATCTCAAGGTGTTTTAGAGGAATAAGTGAATTAATTTAGATAATTTGCTTGGAGTGTGCCTGGCTCAACACAGGTTGAGCTGTTATAATCCCAGGCTGTTGGCAATCAACATTACCTCCCGCCTCCATTGATTAGTGAAGTCAAGCCTGCCGACAGGCACTCCTCCCCACATCCTGTCTTTGTCCAACAGGCCTCAAGAAGCTTCCTTACAGACACGGATTTTCTAGATAGGGTTTCTGCCAACAAACTTTTTCTTTTGCCCGAATCTCGGGGACTCCTTTCTAGAACTGGCCTCTCTGGCACATACATACATACACACCACACACCCCGTCTTCAGACTCGCCTCTTTCCTCTCTGCCTCTCCCTCACAACTGCTCTCCTCTGGCTGGATTTATGGACTACAGCTGGGGGAGGCCCGGTGGGGCTGGCTGAGCAGAGCCACTATGTGACATTGGTGGCCCTCTTCCAGTTGGGCACTGCCACCCTCTCGTGGTCCAAGCAGCGCACGAACAAAACCAGGTGCTGAACACCAACAGCCGGTACCTGCACGACAACATCGTGGATTATGCACAGAGGCTATCAGAGACCCTGCCGGAGAAGCTCTCTGTGTTTTATTTCCTGAATTCTGGGTAAGTGGACTTCGGCCGGTGGTGAAGACAGAATTGCTCACCTATTGAAACCTAGTGTGGCTGACCCAGCAAGCACTGGGAGCGAGGCAGCCTTGCCCTTGCTGAGTCGGGAGCCCACACTCCCCTCCGTAGACCCTGGTGCTCACTCTGTCAGATCCCAGTTTTCTGGTCTCTTAGTAAGGCATGCCAGTACCTCTGTTGCATGATTGTCTCCATGATTGTCTTGGGGGCTTACCTAGGTAATATGTTCCTTTACTTCTGCCTTATGAATACACAGGCCCAGCTGGGGGGTATAGCCAAAATCCCTGCCCTCAGCTCGCTCAGTAAGGAACAGAAACATCAACTGGTCCTTCACAGAAATGCAGAGGTCATTGTCTGGAGGAGAAGGAAGGGACCTGATGAGGCAGAGAAGCGGTGAGGGGCCAAAGCCTGCCAGCAGAGGGTCAGGGAAGACTTCTCTATCAGGCAAAGAGCTGATGAGCAGGAAGGAAGCTGCCTACTTCACCAGAAGTATTCACGCCAGGGTTGCTCAGCCTGTGCAAAGGCCCTGCAGCAGTCAGGGCATGGCATCTGGCACACTTGAGGACCCAAAGAGAGAGGAGGGGGTATGAGCTGACACATTCCAAGTGAGGAATTTGTTTTTATCCTGAGAACACTGGGAAGCCATCTGAGGGTTTTAATCAGGCAAGTGATGTCATCGGGGCTGGAGAAGAGCAAGAATGGACCCCATTGGGCACCAATTCAGCAGCCAGGTGACAGGTGATGGTAGCTAACGCTGGTAGTGGCAGCGGGGACAGGAACAGCAGATGATGATGTGTACGTAGGTCTGGCCCAACCTTGCCTGGGACAGAACACTCCAACAAACCGAGTCATGGCATTTGGGTTGTAGTAATGAGTGTTACCATCATCACTGTCATTTTCTTTTTTTTTTTTTTAATGTTTATTTATTTTTGAGACCATGCGAGAGACAGAGTGCAAGCAGCAGAGGGGCAGACAGAGGGAGACACAGAATCTGAAGGGGGATCCAGGCTCTGAGCTGTCAGCCCAGAGCCTGACGTGGGGCTCGAACTCATGAACTGTGAGATCATGACCTGAGCTGAAGTTGGATGCTTAACCGACTGAGCCACTCAGATTCCCCCCTGTCATTTTCATCCATCAGTACCCCCCCCACCCCTGCCGCCACACCTTGGTAATTTCTAGGATGCGTAAGTTCCCATCTTCAGTTTGCAGATAAGGAAATAGTAGTTCAAAGAAAGGACTCAGCTTGGGGTCCTTTCTGGGGCAAAGCCAGAACCAGAGCTTATTAGGGAAGAGCAGAAAGCTGGGTCCAGGAGTGAGAGCTTCCTGGGCAGTGGGGTCAGGGACGTTTGCTGGTTTATTCCATCACCTGCACTCTGGATTCCAGCAACTTCCACGTTGCCAAATCCAGTGGTCTCTTTGCTGCTCTTGCCTTACACTATCTCTCGGCAATGTTGACAGCATCACCACTCTCCAGAAGTGCTTTCTAGTCTCGCTTCCAGGATGCTGCACACTCCCGGTTTCCACCAGCCTCTGGCCACCCCTTGGTCTCCTCTGCCAATCGCTTCTCCTCTCTTCTTTGGGGCTGGTCCTGAGCCCTCTCCCTGTGTGATCTCATCCATTTCCAAGTCTTTCCATGTTCACGTGCTAATGACTCCCAAATTTGTGTCTCAAGCCCGGATGCTTCCCATGTGTTCCAGCCCCAAGGTTCTAAATGACCACTTCTGGAACATCTCCAACTCGATGGGTCCAAAAGGAGTTGGTTGTCTTCTGCCAACACCTGGTATGGGACCACGGCACTGGCTGTCACTGGCATTCTCAGGAGGACAACCCCCCCTGCCACCCCGACCCTGTCCCACCTCGTAAATGGCAACACTATCTGCATCTCTCCTCCAGGCAGGAACCACACACCCTCCTCCCAATCCTACAGCAAGCCCGCTTCATCTGTCCCCAAGTTGTCTTCTGCCTCTGTCCCTCTTTCTGTTCTCCATGGCCATGACCTGCTCTGAGCTGGGTGTCCTTAGCTCTTGTCTCTTCCCCTTTTACTCCATCAGGCCCACACAGCCAGAGGCTGCCTCCTCAGATGGGAGCTGATTCACGTCCCTTCTCAGATTAAAACTCTTAAGTAGCAGGGCACCTGGGTGGCTCTGTCGATTAAGTGTCCTCTTGATTTCGGTTCAGGTCGTGACCTCAGGGTCGTGGGATCAAGCCTCATGTCAGGCTCTGTGCTGAGCGTGGAGCCTGCTTGAGATTCTTTCTCTCTCCCTCTGCTCCTCTCCCCTGCTTGCATTCTCTCTCTCTCTAAAAATAAAATAAATCTTGAGGTGCCTGGGTGGCTCAGTCGGTTAAGCGTCTGACTTCGGCTCAGGTCATGGTCTCACAGTTTGTGAGTTCGAGCCCTGCATCAGGCTCTGTGCTAACAGCTCAGAGCCTGGAGCCTGCTTCAGATTCTGTGTCTCCTCCTCTCTCTGCCCCTCCCATGCTCATGCTCTGTCTCTCTCTGTCTCTCAATAATAAATAAACGTTAAAAAAAATTTTTTTTAATAAATAAAATAAATCTTTAAAAAAAACAAATACAGCAAAACCTTGGTTCGCAAGCATAATTCATTCCAGAAACATGGTTGTAATCCAAAGCACTTGCATGTCAAAGCAAATTTCAAGAACCGTTGGCTCAGTTGTGATCATGTGACATTCAGTGTCTCATACCACTCATAAGACATTGCTCATTTATCAAGTTAAAATTTGTTAGAAATGTTTGCTCATCTTGCAGAACACTCACAGAACAAGTTACTCACAATCCAAGGTTTTACTATAAATAAAAATAAAAAACTCTTCAGTAGCTTGGCATGGCAGTGAGAAGAAAATCTAGGCACCTTCCAAGGTCCTGTGTGTGGGGCCCCTGCGTATCTCCCCACTTCCTCTCCCATGCTGACCCTTGCCTCCCTTGTGCGTCTCGGTTCCCTGAGCACACCGAGCACTTTTCCTGCACATGTCCCTTGCACATGCTGCTCACTCTGCCTAGAAACTTCCCTCTGGGGACTCAGTTCTGGTGGTGTCTCCTCACAGAGGTTTTCCCTGACCCCTTTAGATAGGGCTGCCAGGACAAAATGCCACAGGCTGGGAGGCTTGAATAACAAATTTATTTCTCCTACTCCTGGAGGCCAGAATCCAAGAATAAAATGTCAGCAGGTTTGACTTCTTTGAGGCCTCTCTCCTTGGTTTGTAAATGGCCACCTTCTGGCTGTGTCCTCACTTGGTCTTTCTTCTTGGCGTCCACGCCTCTTGTGTCTCTGTGTGCCCACGTTTCCTCTTCGTATAAGGACACTAGTCAGATTGGATTAGGGCCCACCCTGACAGACTCATTTTAATTTATATAAATTTAGGGGCGCCTGGGTGGCTCAGTCAGTTGAGTGTCTGACTTTGGCTCAGGTTATGATCTTGTGTTTCTGGGTTCCAGCCCCACATCAGGCTCTGTGCTGACAGCTCAGAGCCTGGAGCCTGCT